CCGTATGAGACCCAATGGAATTCTAATAACCCATCTCACTGGACTATAAACAAACTGAAAGAAGAACTTAACAAAAAGGGAATTAGGACACCTACTGGAATGACAAAACAAGTGTTAAAACAACTTTACATGGAGAATAGTAGTGAAGGAGTAACACCTATAGAGACACAACAAACAGAGAACTTTGGTGATAATGAGATTAACACAGATTCCTCACCAGAGAGCATTGTTCCGATTACCTTGGCAGAATCAGTGCATCAACACAGAAGCAGTGTATCAAATGGTGAAAATGAACAAGACTGCAGAATCACAAAACATAGCTCAGTGTTTTGCAGGACTTCAAGAGTCTTTAAAATAGTTGATTAACAGAGACAAGACTCATGACATGAATAGAGAATTCAACCTACAACAGTGGTATAACCATGCAGGGATTGGCAATAGGAGTGAAACCTACACATCTAACAGGGGAAATTACCAAGAACACAGCTTACAGGGAAATACAGAGATGGCATCTTTCATCTCAGGAACACAAATTGGAAATTTTTCATTTGGAGTGCGTTCTGATGAATCCTCTAATGTGGACATAATATCTCCATCTATCCAGAAGCAAATTATTGACGGTAAGGATGTTAATTTGGCATCTCTTCTTATCCCAAATTATGAAAGTCCCCAAGTTCAATCTGTTGCAGCTAATGGATTAGAATTAAATATCTCTAGGAAGCCAGATCCCCGTCTAAATAGGTAACTCACAATTCAAGAATTCATTAAGGCATTTGGCAAGTTTAAACGGGTTATGTCATCAGCTTATCCTGATCGTAGAGCAGAGCTGGATGCTTATGAAGATGAGATTATAAATATCAGTAATTTTTATTGTGATAGATTTTATGATTATCACAAATTGTTTTCTGCACAATCAGCAGCTTTTTTAAGAGAGAGAAGGATTAAGGTTGACTGGAGTAAAAGAGATAGGGATCTTCTTTCCTTAATAGTTGCTGGTGGAAATGTAAATGTTTGCAAAATTTGTAATTTGGTTGATCACACTACAGCTTTTTGTCCTATGCAGAAATTCATGGGGTATCAAGACTACCCAGATAAAGTATCACGGCAGGTAGACAATACTGATAAGTTAGGTAGAAAGAAGGTTTATCATTCTGGGAGGGAGGTGTGCAATAATTTTAATACCAGTAGGGGTTGTACAGTTTTCACACATCTGTAGTAGATGTAAAGTCGCTGGTGATACCCTATTAGCTTGTCAAAAAGTTTTTCCCTCTCAAGTTAGGACTGAAGTACAATCTAAGCCACATACAGTTAACTCTTCACAAAAGTTTGAGAAAATACCAACAAATAAGCAAGGGCAATGACTACATGATTTTCCATATCAGGCACTACTCCAATTAATGTAATTAAACTTGCAGAAGAATTAGTATCTCATCCTGACAAAAAACTTGTTAATTATTTATGCAATGGCTTAGAGAAAGGTTTTGATACTTTGGTAGCAACAACAGATTTACCTACAAAAGAATGTAGGAATAGTTTATCTGCTAGGACACAACCAGAAGTGGTTTCTGAGTTGATAGATAAAGAAGTATTTAAAGGTTTCTTGTATGGGACCTTTTAGGATCCCCCTTTTCAAAAATATAGGGTAAACCCCATTGGTATTGCAGAAGGGAAATATTCTGGTAAAAAGCGCTTAATATTGGATTATCTTCACCACATAATGATGACAACCATCTAAGCATTAATGATCTTATTGACAAACAGGATTGCTCAATGTCTTATGTAAGAATAGATGACGCCATTGATGTTATTTTGAAATTCCTGGCTTTGCAAGTTCGACATATCCGACGCGTTTAAAAATTCTCCAATTATACCAAGTCAGTGGCCTCTTTTTTGCATAAAATGGGAAAAAATGTATCATTTTTATGTCCGTTTAACTTTTGGATGTCGTTCAAGCCCCAAAATGTTTGACCATTTATCTTAAGATTTGTGTCATATTGCAGAAAACAATTACAAAGTTAATAGCATTTTGCATTTATTGGATGATTTCCTAACCATAGATCCACCAGGTGCTGATGGTGAGAGGTCTATGGCTATAATGATAAAAAACTGAACATTCCTATAGCTAAACATAAGACAATAGGTCCTGTAAAATGTTTAGAATATTTGGGTATAATTCTAGATTCTGAAAAAATGGAAGCTCGACTGCCCCTTAATAAAGTCAATCGCATTTGTGAATTCATCAAAAAATTATACAGGAGAAAATCATGTACAAAAAGGAAATTGTTGCAGCTTTTGGGCCACTTAAACTTTGCTTCAAGTGTCATTTTACCTGGTAGATCCTTTGTTTCATACCTCATAGGGCTGTCCACTACTGTCAATGATTTGCATCACTATGTTAAATTAGATAAGGAATGCCGTGTTGACCTAGAATTTTGGTTGCTTTTTTTGAGCAGCTGGAATGGTGTGAACATGTTTTACAGTAGACAATTTAATTCAAGTTATGATATGGAACTTTTCACTGATGCCTCAACAACGAAAGGATTTGGTGGATATTTCAAAGGAAAATAGTTTTATTCATCATGGCCATCAAACATTGCTTATCCTGACAAAAAATATTCAATGGCTTTTCTTGAATTATACCCTATTGCAGTATCCGCAATACTGTGGGGCTCACAGTGGACAACAAAACGCATTCTTTTCTGGTGTGACAATAAATCTACAGTAGCTATAGTAAAAAAGGGCCGTTCAAAGTGTTTACAAATTATGAAATTAATGAGGAAACTTACATGGTGTGCTTGTAAATACAACTTTCATTTTAGTGCGAAAAATTTTCCAGGATATCAGAATTACATAAGTGATGCTCTATCTCGTTTTCAGATAGACAGATTCCGCAAACTAGCTCACAGTGCAGCACAACATCCAATGAAGTGCCCAAGCAGCTCAGATGTAATGTGGTCTTAAAACAAGCAGTGAATGAACTTTGGAACAGTGCTATTGCTAAGAACTGTTTATGAGACCGGGTTCAGAAAGTTTGAGACTTTTATGTTATTGAATTGTTTTCAATTTACTAGTTTACCTCCTATTTCTGAGGATATTTTAATTTATTTCATAGCCCACTGCTTTAAAATTCTGAGTTTACAATACTCTACCATTAAACTATATTTATGTGGAATAAGGTATAAGTATGTACAGGGTAATCATAATGATCCCTTGCAATCTGCTAATAATACACCTTTAAATAGGCTTGATTATGTTTTTAATTCTGTAAAAAGACAGCAAAAAACAAAAAATTACATAAGATTACCAATAACTTTTGAAATTTTGGAGAAAATTGAAAATTGTGTGAGAAAAGGTTTTTGTTCCAAGTTTACTGATTTAATGTTAAGAACTGCATGCATTGTCGCATTTTATGGATTTTTGAGATGTGGCGAGTTTACAGTGTCAAAGGCCTCACAATTTGATCCAGCTATAAATCTATGTATTGAAGATGTTGTATTTCACACAGACTTAGTAGTTTTGAAATTAAAACAATCAAAAACTGATCCTTTTAGAAAAGGCATAAACATACAGCTACATAAATTAGGGCGGCTTATCTGCCCTTACAAAATTTTGTAGAATATATACAAGTAAGGAAGGAATTTTCTCCTATTAATCAAACTGATCCACTTTTCATAACCATTGATAAGAAACCTCTGGAGGGACAATATTTCCTCACCTGTATTAAAAAAGTACTGGATATATGTGGCTTCAACTCAAGTCATTATAATGGTCATAGTTTTAGAATTGGAGCAGCTACTATTGCTGGTAAGGCAAAAATAGAAGATCACTTGATAAAAACATGAGGGCGCTGGTCTTCAGATAGTTACATCAGATATATTAGGGTAACGCCAGCATATATTAAAACAGCTCAAAGTAGGTTAGGTAGAATTTAAGGGCTGCTCATTTTCAAAGTTTCATATGCATGTTTTCACAAAGTTTCTGTATGATATTGTTTTTGTTTGACAAATGATTTTAATAATGTGTTATTATGTGATTATTTTTAGCTTTTCTTTTATGATATTATTATTTTTTTTGTTTTGGATTTTTTTTTGTTTTTTGTTTTTTGTTTTTTTTCATGGCTTTATTGAAGGTACCCCCTCCATTACTTCACAAATCCTTGGGGACACTCAGCTGTTACCATCTGTGTTATGGACATTTATGAAATTTTATCACTGGTTGTTTCAAAAATTTCACTCATCCCCCAAGAATTTCTGGGGATAAACTGTCAAATTTCATACAAATTCATTCCAACACCAATTCAACATCAGCACTACTAGGCTTTCTCATAGCCTCCTTATAGGCTTCCTCATTGCCTCATTATAGGCTTCCTCATAGCTTCATAGGCTTCCTGATAGCCTCACGCATTTATTTGAAACCATCGTTCCAATTGGATTGGTGTGATGTCAAGCCAGGCGTCTATACTTTGCTACTTTTCGGTATGCACATAGCTAGGCTCTTGGTTAAGGCATGGAGCAAAAATTTTAATTTTTAGCTGAGTAGATTCCCCAAAGGCCAAAAATTAGTGCTGAATATATATAAAATAAAAGTTTTATTTCACTTATGATATATGTTTCATTCAAACATGGATTTGAATTGTTTCACATTTTTCATGTCGACTCTTCGGTATGGGTTTTACTCATTGTTGAAGCCGTACGGTTGTCTATAATTGCTTATTATACATCCACTTCATTTAAACTCTGGTGGATAGTTTTCTCATTGGCAATCATTCACATCTCCTTATTTTTATGACCAAATAGGCAAACAAAGTACGCAGATAAAAAATGAGAAACGTTTTTCCTTTTTTCTGCATGGTAATTTTACCTTATAAATGTATTTACTTGTATATCATCTTTTAAATTATTTATTTAAACCCGAACCTGATTTTTTTAAATTGATTTATTCTCCGTACCTTAACGTCTCAAAATTGAACTACATAATAAATGACACAGAATTATTTTTAATTTTTTGTTGACGCATAGCCCAAAAATATTCTATGTTGGACTTGATAGAAAAAGAAGATCGTAAGCATAATTTAACTATTTTGTAAAGTAAAGATTTCAAATTTAATTTAAATCACCTCTTTATTCAATTTTAATATATGATTTTAATTATTTGTACTTTCGTTTACATTTCACATTTGTACTTTCACGGTTTTGAAAAGGACATTGGTGAATATTCAAAATGAATAGAAGGAGGAATAGGACATATATCAAAGATCTACTAAATAAGTTTATACAAACGTGAACAAATGTGAACCCATATTTCTACAGTGAAGCCGTTAATTTGTAACAATAATAGTATGAAAATGTTCACCAATTTGTGTTTACAACGATGTAAAGTTGTTTTTCCATTAAAATCTAAGACGTGCATATCGAATAAATTGAGAAATAAACAAGAAGGAGCAAACGGAACATCACCATTACGGAAGAAAAAGTCTACGATGATTTGATTTTGATTTAAATAACTCTTACATCTAAGACGAATAAAATACAACGATTTTAATGTTGATTTTAATAAAACAAAATTCAGTCGGTTAATTTTAATTTGTAAGATATCAAGTAGTTCTTAAGATATCAAGATACTCAGGTGGTCCAAACCTGGGACATAATATATTGTTTAGATCTATATGTATATTAGTCCCAGTCTAAACTAACTGCTGTCTAATATCATTTCTCTATAATTGCCTGTGTCTTTTTATATGGTGAATATGTCATTCGACATGTTTTGTTTTGACTTTAACACAACCTGATAAAAGTAAATCCAGAACGTTTTATCTCGAGGAAGCTAATTTTTTTTTTGAATTTTCATTCATTCATAGAATATTTGAGGACATTATGTGTTGACTATTTTTCGGGAGAACATATAACATTAATTCGTGTTTATTTATTGTATTTGGTTCGTTGTTCATTTTTGTTTCCACTGGTGAATTAATGAAACAATAATACAAAGAGTATAGTTTCAAAGTAGCCCACTTAAACACAGAACTGTTATGTATTTTCCATTTTATTCATATAGATTTGAACCATAACGTTCCAAAATTGACCTACATAATAAATGACACAGAATTATTTTTTTTTTTTTTGGCGCATAGCCCAATATTCAATGTAAAAAAAAAATAAGATCGTAAGCATAATTTAACTATTTTGTAATGTAATCTTATAGATTTAAAAGTTTGGTTTCAGAAATATCATGGTTCATTGGTTGATTGCTTTTCTGTCTGATTCGAAATGTTATTAATCAGTATTTTGTAAATATGAAATGTATGAAATAATCAGTGAGACCTTTATCCGATTTTTTTTATTGACGAAAAACTTTTATTTCAGAAAGTACGAAATGACGTTTTATTTTCTCTATTTGAGTATTAGCCTGTATACACTCATAACTATTGGTGCAGAAGCAGACGAAAGTAAGTTTTGTTTTTCTTTTCAACTGTCTTCTTTGTATTTAATTTTAAACAAGCTTAAGCTAAACCTGTCTGTCAAGATCTGATTGCGAAAACAAAAATATGTGTAATGAATTTGCCGAAACTATCATAAAGAACTATTTGGATGGATTAAGAATTGTGCGCTAAGAGAGGGTATTAAATGATAGGCGAGGGTTCCAGGAATGAGTCCAATAGAGCTAATACCCACGGGAAGTGATATACATGTTGTTTACTTTACGTATTCCCTTTTCATTTATTCTCTTTGTTTCTATTTTGTTTTGTACTTGCAACCCCATTCTATGGCAGTTTTGTTATAGTTGAGGGGAATGACACGCTTTTGGGGTGTGGGATAAAGGGGGAAAAAATGAGGGAACTGGGAAAAAGAAGGAAGACAATGAGAATTGGGAATAGATTACAAAAAAACGGAATTTGGTAAATGAACACTCCCGTGTCATCCCCTCTAGAGTTGCACGCCACGCCTAGACCAATCCCATGGCTACGATGACTGCTTTTGCAATACGAAAATTAAAACATTATTATCAGAGATACTCGCAATGTACGGAATATATCGTTTTGGCCAATTTATAACTATGGGAATTATATGAACTTGAAAACAGATGCTCTAGAAAGTGATATTTAATCATTTCGCGAGACACATTCCTATACATGCAATTGATAGAAAACATGAACAGAAAATTAACAGTTTATTATGAGGATTAGGATTTTTCTGAAATAGCTTGTCACCTTGGGATTAAAAATTAACAAAACAATAAAGATTCATAGGTATTATATGATAATTCAAACATGGAAATCCATAGATCAAGCAGGTGCGGATCCAGCCATTTTGAGGAGAAGGGCGTTCTCACACCCGGAACACCATGAAACGTTCACATAATTAAGAAAAAATCGAAAAATGGGGTTTCCGCACCCCCCCCCCCCCCCCTCCTTGGATCCGTTTTTTGGGAAGGATGTATACACGAAACTTCATTATGAGTTTTTGTGATATTACTATATACCAAATGTGTAAGTTTACTTATTAAGGCATTACATAAAAAAAATGATAATTTTAAGCAATTTTCTTTGTCCAAGTGCTTCATCTTTTGCAAAAAAATATCTGATGGGGGAAAGAATCTCTAATCTAATCTGTATCTTCTTATGATATGACTATATTACAAGTATCTAATGAATAAGAATGAAGCACTACAGAGAAAAGTATGTTAAACTGTAGAATGATACACATTTTTACATTTTAAGCGGATTCAAAATGGCAGGATCACTTTGTCGATTGTCGACAAGCGAAAAATGAAAAGAAAATGCAAGTAATATTCGAGTTAAAGAGTGTACTTACATGATTAACACGTATATATTTTAGCGTTGTATTTAAATGGATTTTAATCAAATCTGCCTTGATGGAAAGATATACTGAATACCATTTATTTAAGTAATAATCTATTTAATTAGAGCTGTTTGATTTTATTTTAGTGCTGTCCTTATTTAATTGACATATTTGGCAAAATTCCAAATTTAATTAGGCTTTAAAAGTATTGACAATGTATTGTTTATTCCACACACAATACAATATGATAACAATGCATTATGATAATATATATTGAAGTAAAATGTGTAAATTTTATAGTGTTTTAAATACCGTATTTAAACAAAATATAATAACTCGATTGGTTGATTGAATGGTGTTTAACGCCACTTTCAGCACTATTGGCTATTTCGTGGCGGTCAGTTTTTAACTAGTGGAAGAAGCTGGAGTACCTGGAAAGAACCACCGACCTTAGGCGGGATAACATAACAACTCAGTATTGTTTTTATATGTGTGTGACTGTCTTGAAGTATTACTGGTGTGCATTTTTAAACTATCCTCATACAAATACTCTTACCAAAGCGGCGAAAAACATTTCTATAACCTTTTAATATCATTGATCAGTTTTGCTTTAATATAAAAATAAGGAGATGTGGCATGATTGCTAATGAGAAAACTATTCACCAAAGTTCAAATGAAGTGAATGTAAGCAATTACAGGCAACCGTACGGCCTTCAACAATGAGAAAAACCCATACCATATAGTCGGCTATAAAAGGCCCAGACATGAAAAATATGAAACAATTAAACTAACGACCTAATTTATAACAAAACAATTTACGAAAAACAAATATGACAGACACGAACCAACAACAACCATGCACTGAACTACAGACTACTGACTTGGGACAGGCACATAAAGAATGTGGCGGGGTTAAACATGTTTGTGAGAGTTGTTTTAACATAATCAGTGTGACTTGTTTATAAATACACTTACTTTATACCTATTCTATGTTCATCCCCTTTATTACAGTCTAATTTACTTTTATTACGTTAGATTGTTTTATAATTTGTTTGTTTCTAACTTTTGGCACGGTGTCACAGTTGTATTTGATATGACAGCAATATTGTACATGTTGTAATAAAAGAATTTATGCAAATCAGAGAAATTCCACTGCACGATTCAGCTTTTGAATGTCATGCTCGATTCAGATAAAAGCCGTTATTCAATCGCACATTAATGTTTTTTGGAATGATGCATTGATGCATTTTTTTTGATAGAGATAGTTGAAAACAAAAATGAAAACGAAAAGTCTGAACGAATTTGTATCTTGCTTTTGCGATTGTTATTGTGTTTTTTTAAAAATCAGACAACCATTTGTATCAAAATTTAAAATGCAAATGTCCATAGTGTAAAACACTTATATATCATAATAAAACCATTTAGTTTCTGTGCGCATTTAAGAAAATACTTTTCGTTAAAGTAAATCAAAATATTGAAATTTATTTTTTTAAACTTTTTTGCAGTTTTCTGGGAAGTACTAAATCCGCCAATAAGGTTTGGAAGTAATGTACAACTTAAATGCAACATCAAATGCTGTCTGCGGAATGTTACAACTGCAGCATCTTGGGAACTAAAATGGCCAAATAAAACACATGAAACGATTTCCTTTGACGAACTGTCACTGAAACCTTCTAAATACGATATTCTTGTTGGAAAGGACGGATGCATACTAGTAATAAAAAACTTTGTTATGATGGACGTACCACCTACATACATTTGTCGCTTTAAATTCAATAATTTTAGTAAAAGCTTAAATTTGCACAACGAAAAATTTGAAAGTGAGTATTTTTGTTCACCTTATCAGTCGTATACCTATTCATTGCGTTTCAAGTCGCACTAAAAGACACGTTTTGAAGTCGCTTCTGAAAATTGATATATCGAAGTTAATCTTTTTACAATATATGCGTATTTCGACCTTTCGAAAATTAATAATTCGTCAGTGGTGCTCGAGGCAAAATATTGGAAACCCAAAAGTATCTATACATTGAACAGCAACTACACACAAGACTGGTAGACCCAAAGACATTTCCGACTTAAACATGTATAAAAAGCAAAGTAACCATGTGAATAATGAGACCAAAGACCAAAATAACTTAAATATTAACAATTTATCGGGTGAAAATTCTAAACTTTATTTGTCTTTTATGAAAATATAGGTAAAGGTATTAGGTACCACTACACACATTAGTCAATTGAATTGAAAATGACGAAAAAGTCAATGACAATTATAAAATTATGATGAAGCATGTTTACTAAATTTCTGCTTTTGTTCTATATCTCAGATAGATGATAGCAATGATAGGCACCCACACGTTGTAGCTAGAACAAATAAATAATGTTTTTTTTATTATATCACCCCAGATCAAGTATGTGATATAGAATTTGAAACTATCATCCGTACGTCCGTTGAAATATAAAACATCACTGCAAAAGAGCGTATCTATCTAAAAGAAAAAAATATGCACTACATTTTTTTATAATAGAATATTTGTTTAAATCTTATGTATTATAGTGTTACCAACACCTTCTACCATGAAGATCGTTACAGAAACAGATGGAGGATTTTACAATATTATCGTGAATTTTTTTAAGGTTTATCCAAGACCAATGTGTAATGCCAGAATTAAAGTAGGTATCAACCAAATTTTGAGCTTTTTCAGGATTGATTGTTTGGTTGGCAGACTAGTTATAATTGTATAATATGTAATATTTAGACCTCCCGGTACCGATGCCAAGTATTTTTCGTTTTTTGAAAATGGTTTCAAAGTTACGTCTTATTGTCTAATATAACATATGGTGTAGCATTCTCCTGTTTTCATTGGACATCACGATCACGTATTTCAAAAGTTATTTTATGTATCCGAAGCCTTGTTTCTATTTTGATGTATATTGACGCTATGTTTCTATTTATTTAAGGAATGACTGTAATATTTTTTCTGTCTATGAAGAAATAACATCAAAAATGTGGTGCACACTGAATAACCCGCGTAGCGGGTTATTTTAAAGTGTGCACCACATTATTTTTGTGTTTTCGAATAGACAGAAAAATATTACAGTCATTTCTTATAATTTAATTCTAAATTCCATTTTAAACCGGAGTAAACCATGAAAAAACGTTGATGACGTCACGGTCACATGACAAAATTGTGTCTATGAGCTGATAAACAAAACAACGTCAGCCAATCAGAAGACGCGTTACATCCAAAATTAAATTATATGTATATTGGCGGTCAATATAAAAAATCTTGCTAAATTTAGATTTATGACGTCATGACGTCACACATAACAACCATGGAGGAAGCGCCACAGCAGACGATTCGAAAAGAAAATTTGCAAGTTTATCAGAAGGAGATATCAAGAACTTTATGTTAATACAGACGCTAAGGATACAAGAAAGCTAACGCAACAAGCTATGAAGTTGTACAAAGAATATTGATATTTTCAATAACATGTTAAAATTCTTGCAAAATACAATTTAAAAATACACAGAAAGAACATTGAACGCCATTTTCCGAATACATTATTTACATATGTAATATATAAATTAAGGACTTTCATTCAGTTAATACGTTATATATGGACCTGTTAGATTATATTGACACTCGGACTTCGTCATCGGTCAGTATAATCTGAACAGGTCTATATATAACGTATTGACCTCGTCAAAAGTCCATAATTGATAAATACACATTAAACAACGTAAAAACTGAAAACTGTAATTTATTTTTTACCTTATTTACTATACTACGTTTCCTAGGCCGAATAGGTAGGAATTAACCCCTTATTTTGCCAAGAAAAGAACAAATCATTGATTTCTAAAACTGTATCGTTTTCTTATAATTTGCGAAATTCTGCTCAGATATTTCTTAAATTATAACTGCGATGATTGGTGTAAGATTGAAATGGTTTGACTTCGGAATGCATTGAATGAATGTTTCGAATAACTTAAAGAAGAACGAAGAATGTGCGCCAACGCGTCGATCAAGAAACGTGAAACTTCACGATGACTTTTTATTATATTCCCTTTTTGCAACTCTTAAGTCATATTTACACTGCAATGCAAGTTAAATGTAAGTATAATCACATGACTTAAAATAAGAAAATCAGCAAGCGTCTATATATATATCCGTATTCTCCAGTTGTTCCAAAATGGCTCATACTATAATCAACTCGATTCTTACATTTTTCGAAGAGTAAATCGACAAAGATGTATTTTTTCACAGCTTTGTCTCCCCTGCTATATAAAAGGATGGTGTATGATAAGAGCTATTAGTTGGCCCCTGAAATTGAAAAAATAGTAAAATTACTAAAGCCTTTCAAAACTATGTTAATTTTATTGCTGAATGTACAGGTTAGTATACACTGGACACTTTAGTACAAAAACTCACTTGTGGTGTCATTGTGATTTCATATACATTTTGAAATACAAAACGTAGACATATTTGACCTAAAATGTCCTGACAGTTTCGGACAAAATAAATATGAACAGCAGTCTTCTCAAAAAAGACAGAATTTTGTCTTACGAACATCCGAAGGTTATTTGGTAGATAATTCATTGTTTTGAATTTCGAATTCCAAGTAGAGGGTACCCACCCAACTGAAAGCATCCTTATCATAGTTACTTGCTCCTTTGCAGCAAGAGGAACAGTTCACGCAAATGACAGTCCTATTAGTTTTCGAAGGTGCAAGACATTTGATTTCTTCCTTTTAGAAAAAGAATTACCTCTGTCATGAACAATATTACGATCTCATGTAAAAACATTGTCAAATGGATTATATCAGATCCTTATTATTTTTACTTATGTCAACTTCAGATTTAAATGCGCTTAATTATGATCAGTAAGGCCCTTGTGAAGCTAGCGTAAGACAATAAACAGTTTTTGAGTCTATGATGAAAGTATGGATACATATGTTAATGAACAAAACAATAATCGAAGATTCTTGGTGAATTGATTAATCAAGGCTTTAATACATTTGACTCTCAACAAATTCTGTTCCTGATCTTCTCGTCTGCCGATTTGATGAAACAACTTATTACAAAAACTTTAAAATTAGTAGTTTCATAATAAAAGGGGGGTAAACTTAATGGTATTCGTATATATATCATTGAACAATGATGTTTTAGATTGTGTTTAAACAGAAGATAGAATTTTGGAGGTTTTTTATGCAAGAAAGTTTACTTTGATAACTTTGACTTTTAATATTAGTTCTTTTGCTTATCCATTTTCCAAGTAATTTATTTTGAAACCATGATATATTAGAAACTCCCTAAAAAAAAACTAAAAACCAACAAAAAGACCCAACCCAAATAACAATATAGAGTTCATTTAAAGATTTACATAAGATTAATTTAGACACTCTTAAACAGCATATTGTTTTCAAATATTTGGAAGCGGTTCAGGTGCTATAATTTATGTTTTTGCAACTCAACTTCTCTCAACTACACATTGAGGTTTAGATTATGCTTTATGAAAGTGCTGCTCATTTGAGTGCTTAATTTCATGATTATCCAATAGGCGCTTGGGGATTACAAATTAAGTTAGTAAAAACAAGTTAAAATATTACAGAATATTTACTAATTTCAAATTAAAACGTAAAAAGAATATTTAGAAAAAAGGTGGTCTATTTTCAAGCGCCTGTGCATTTCCCAAGTATTTCGATTGGAACGAGGGGTGACAGAAGTGTCCTTGCTTTTTATGCATTATATGAATTTTAAAAAGAGGATAACTTCATTAGTATTTTTAATGCTCAATTTAGGTCTAGATATAGCGTTAATGTTTGAGATATGTTTTGGTAGACATGTATAACCGCTAAGGCAAAGCTATGCCAAAGTGTTTTTTTTTCTGTTTTGTCAAAACATAATGGTACGGTGGAAGAAATATATGTTTAAAGAATAGAATATTGCGTTAACTTAAAGATATATGTCAGATAGCTTGATAAATGAAACAAAATAATATAACAAACCTGTCATGTAAAGCCCGACGTAGACAAGACAATCTACAATACGAACATTTAACCTGGGACATAACATATTGACATTAGTTTAATAGTCCCAGATTTAACCAGATTTAACCAATTACAGGAAATACATAAAGTAAATGTCAGAAAAGAATGAAACCATAGATATTTGAAAAAAAAATGAAAAGAAAAAAAAAGATCAAAATAACCATATGACAGCACAACGATTTGATTGAAAACAATATTGTTTGTTTATTTTACAGGATAGAAACATAACTTCGCAAATTAAAGAACAAGTTATTGAGGAAGAGTTTTTCTACAAAGGAAATTATTCATTAAGTCTTCAAATCATTAGTGGATTATTAACCATGGTCTGCAAGATTGGTGAATCTAATTTTACTATCAAGGAAATCGAATTCGTCTTGTTTTTTAGGGAGAAAGGTTTGCATTTAATTTAAAATATAAGAACAATCAGTGTTAATAAGTGAGAGGAGATACCAATACCAAAGGGGTAATCGAATATCACATCCAAAGAAAACAGAAAACACCATGAACAAAAATACAACGACTAAAAGAACAAACAACAACAACAGCAAAACATTATACAGAAAACCAAAAGACATTAACAACACGAACCCTACAAAAAATCAGGGAGTGAACGCATGTGCTCCGGAAGAGTTAGAAATTCTGCTACAAATGTGGCACTTGTCATGTTCCTCATGCAAGTACAAATCCGATGATAATTCTTTATTCGGTAATGTAGAAATAGAAGAAAAGGTAATTCATATTAACATCGTAAATGGTTAACTAAGATCTGAAAAAAAAATTCTTATAGAATGGTCCCAAACAGGTAGCTACAAATTCATAACATGTCTTTTAAGTAGGATTTATCTTAATAATTTTTGGACGTAAATCAAAGAGTTTTTTTCAGACGACCGTGTTGTATGGATTCAGAGAGAGATCAATGTTGTGCTATCATCTGCAATCGTCATTCTATGCTCAGTTGTGATCTTTATAGTCGTGACATGCTGGGAGAAAGATTTTAGATATTTCAGAGGTTGGCTTGTCTTACTGTACTTTGTATTGTTAGAAATAAATCCTTTGCCTGGAGGAAAAAAGGGTTTTTTGTCTAATGAGTATCCAAAACAAATAGAAAAATGCGCGAAGAGCTACGCAAACGAAGCGTCTGAAATTTTGCCACTGCTGGCGAAAAAAGATAATATTGTGTGAATTGGGTCCTTAACTAATGTGAAGAGATGTCATAAAATACAATGCTATAAAGGAGTAATTTCTGAAGAATTTACTTGCCTGAAAAAGGATACTAGTATATCGAGCATACACGGAACAACATTCCAAAGATAATGAACTTTTATTTATTACTTAGTAAACAAAATCTGTAATCAACTTTATAAAAAATTATTAACTTAAAATTGTTTATACTTTTTCGTATTTGGGTTTCATTTTCAAATATAATTGTACATTTTTTATACCAAATACAAACTTGTAGATCAAGCCCAAAAGGCAGTTTTATATTTACAAAATTATACGAAATGAACCAATACCTACGGATCTACAATTTAGCTTTTTGATTCTATGAAAGAACCTATATTACAGTATAGTTTGGAAGTTTGGGGCTTTGAAAAGTTGAAAATTATTGAAAAGACTCACTTGAAATTTTGCAAAAGAGCCCTGAAAGTTAGAAACGCTATGCCTAATTTTATGGTAAATAGAGAATTAGGTTGATAAGGTGAAAGTTAAAATGATTTTGTATTGGTGTAAAATTATCAATAATGAATCAAAGCTATGTAGTTTATTGTATAGATTGATGATTGACTTAAAGCCTAAATCTCAATACATCTTTAAATTGGTCAATTTTGTGGAAGCAATATCAAACAGTACTGGCATTGGATATATTTTTGCCAATAAAACGGCTAATGTGATAAAATGTATTTAAGGTTCATGTGGATCCTTTGGCTAAAATGGCTACATTTTCACCTCAAAATTTACTCTGAGTACAGACAAACCTGTGTATCTGGAAAAGTTGTAAGGTCATAGCATGCCCTAGATAAATAAAATTCAAATATATTTTATGTTTTAGAAAAAATTAAAAACTTAACAGGATTTTGCAGTGCACTTTTTTTCATTTCTCCAGAAGGTGCCAAAATAAACTAAGTTGTGAAAGAGGTTTGAGAACTTCCCCACAGGTAATAATTGAAGTGAACTGTATTGATTGACATGGACAATAGAAGGACAATAGATACCTGAAAATAATTGGTGATTTAAACTGTGTACCTGAGTGGACCATATCAAGTGAAACTCATCGGTTTGTTAATTTTATCATCTTCTGCAGGGACGAAAAAAAGTGCACTGCAAAATCCAGTTAAGTTTTAAATTTTCTAACACATACAATGCATTTGAAATTTATTTATCTAGGGCTATGCCTTTAAACTTTTCCAGATGCACAGGTTTGTCTGTACTCAGAGTAAATTTTGAGGTGAAAACGCAGCCATTTTAGCCAAAGGGTCCACATGACCTTAAAACAAACACTTTTGTGATCAGTTTGTACAACAGTGGTCTAGTGATATTAAAAACTCATCATGAGCACAATTTTACTAAATTTTTAAAAAAGAGATTACTTTAGAAACATACCTTCTTAAACTTCCTGAATATTGCAGGCTTTGGATTTCACATTTAAGTGTTCAAATTTTCCTCTGCCTATTGCAAAAGAAGATGGCAATAATTATATTCCAAGGCATGATAGAATATGTACTTTATGTAGGAGCAATATAGGTGATATATTTCAATTGTTATTTAAATATACTTACCAAAATATTGTTGATTGAAAGGAAAACGTTTCTACCGAGCTACTACATAATGTATCCTAATTAAAAAAAATGGAGGTCTTCTTTCAATATGTAATTTACAACTGTATAAACGATTTTCTGTTTTCACCCCAAAAACAATTACCAATATGTTTTGAAATGATGGAATATATATTTATGTATTATTGTATTTCTACATGCTATATGTACTAATACATTATTGTTGATACCACATGTTTATGTAATGCCATTAACTATGATCTCATGTTACAAATGTAGCTGTGTCTGTGGGTTCAAATAAAATCTTATAATTTCCTCCCTCATGCTGATTGAAATATTGCATCCGCTAGAGTTCCATATGGCACCCATGTCATACTAAATGAACACTATAGCATATTACAGTTTTTCCAGGGGGAAAGGGGGGGGGCATATGGAATTATTTCCCGAAAGCGGTGGTAAGTAAGAAAAATACTATAAAAACGTTTATTTAGGGTATTTGGAGTATGAGAAATATTTCGTTATTTGTGGATGACAATAGATACCATTATTTTCATAACTTCGAATTCTGAATATGAAATTACCAATTGAAACTGGCGTGTGTTGGTGGTTTGTGCCACAGGATTGTGTATGCGTCTAGTGTGGGTTGGAGCCATAGGCTCTTACACCACCGCTGGCTAGCCTGCTTTGCAAGTGAAAAGAAAGCCGAGTGAGTAAGTCTTTTTGCCAGTACATAGCCTCTACACTATTCAAGACTTCTGCAATGCCTCCTCGCGACAGCACACGGTAACTAGGCTCCAGCATCCTAGGCAAAATTGTAGAGGATCTCGGAGCAGCAAGGGCCCCAGAGATGCAGTGTGTAGGGCCACCGGCGCGTGGACATGCCCTTGCACTCATCAACCTTGCCCCAGCTATGGGAAAATAGCCGGATAGATGAGAGTCGTAAGCCAAGAAAGGCAACCCATCTAGGAGAAGGAACAACTCCAAAATCAAACCGGTTAGATAAGGCTCGTAAGTCATGGCAGACAGCTTATCTAGAGGAAGGATACCTCGAGAACAAAATTCCTGGCCCTCCAGGTTGGGGGTTGAGCGCAAGACCAACTATCTTGCCTTGTAAAATAATTCACAGTTACAGAAACATTGACGAACAGAAATACATTTACCGACTCGGTAGAGAGGGTCTCTTTAACAACAAGACATATGACGCATTGCAGGGAAAGCGGAAACGAAGCTGCAAAGCCGATCAACCTTCTGACACCTAAGTCAACCTCCATACTTGGGACCTGGAATGTAAGAACCATGTACCAAAGTGGCAAAGCAGCGATCATAGCCAATGAAATGAAAAAGTACAAAATAGAAATACTGGGATTGAGCGAGACTCGATGGATTTCAACTGGTAAGACAACGCTTGCTACTGGTGAGACTGTTTTATATTCTGGACACCAAGGGGATGGTAGTCCACATACAGAAGGAGTTGCCATAATGATGTCAAAGGAAGCTAATAGGGCACTTATATCTTGGGAACCTATAAGTTCAAGAATAATGACAGCAACCTTTCGAACAAAGCACAAGCGAATAAGAGCAAACTTTATACAGTGCTATGCACCAACAAATAATGCCGATGAAAATGACAAGGATAATTTTTACAACACCTTAAATGGAATTCTAAACCAGCAAAAAGACAAAGATCTAACAGTACTGATGGGAGATTTCAATGCCAAAATAGGAAACAGCAATATGGGGTATGAACAATCAATGGGAAAACATGGACTAGGCCAAATGAATGAAAATGGAGAAAGATTTGCAGAATTATGTGCCAACAATAAATTTGTCATTGGAGGGAGTATATTTCCACACAAACACATCCACAAGGCAACATGGATATCACCAGACCATGTCACAGAAAACCAAATTGACCATTTCTGCATCAGCAACAAATTTAGGAGATCACTTCAAGATGTTTGTGTAAAAAGGGGAGCAGATGCTGCATCAGACCATCACCTCCTGATTCAAAAAGTAAGAATGAAGCTAAGGAAAGTATACACCATGAAAAACTCATCAAGGGTGAAATACAATGTTAATTTTTTGAGAGAAAAGACGGAGAAAGAACAGTTTAACATAACACTTTCAAACAAATTCCAGCTGCTAGAAGAACTTGATAACATTGAAGACCAGTGGAGTCAGATAAAGGAGATAATAAACAGCACATGTGAAGAAACTCTTGGTAGAAAATCACACACCCAAAAAGAGTGGATTACACCAGCCACTCTTAGAAAAGTAAATGAGAAAAAACAGAAAAAAGACAAATTGAATAGAAGCAAAACCAGAAAATCAAAAGCTGCTGCTCAAACTGACTACAACAAAACTCACAAGGAAGTTAGACTATGTGTAAGAAAAGATAAAAGAGCATATATTGAAAATCTTGCCTCACAAGCGGAAGAAGCTGCAAACATGAGAAATATGAAAGATCTGTACGATACCACCAAAAAACTTGCTGGCAAATTTAGACAAACAGGTCAACAAGTTAAAGACAAAAATGGGAAGGTCCTTACCACTAAAGAAGAACAGATTGCTAGATGGGCCGAAGACTTTAAATAACTTCTAAATAGACCACCTCCAGCTGATACACCAGTTATCAACAAAGCAAATGAAGAGCTTCACATAAACCTTAACCTACCAACAAAAGTAGAAATAAAACAAGCAGTAAAAAAGTTGAAGTCAGGCAAGGCAGCAGGTTCAGACAACATTCCACCAGAAGCCCTTAAGGCCAGCCCTGACCTAACAGCTAACCTCTTACATAAGCTATTCAGTGATATATGGCAGCAAGAAGAAATGCCTCAAGAATGGAACGAGGGTCACCTAATCAAACTACCGAAGAAAGGCAACATTAAAGAATGCAAAAATTACAGAGGAATTGCATTACTATCAGTGGCAGCAAAGGTACTAAACAGAATCCTCCTTACACGACTTCTTAAGGCTGTAGATGAAAAACTACGAGAACAGCAAGCAGGATTTAGGAAAGACCGATCATGCATAGACCAGATAGCCACACTACGCATAATAATAGAACAGTCCTTAGAGTGGAACACCTCCCTACTGATTAACTTTGTAGACTTTGAAAAGACATTTGACAGCTTGGACAGAGAACCCTTTGGAACATCATGGCTCATTATGGAATACCACAATCATTCATAAACATCATCAGGAACTCTTATAACAACATGAAATACAGAGTTATACATGAAGGCAATCTCAGCGAGAGTTTTGATGTCAAAACTGGAGTAAAACAAGCTTCCTGCTATCACCTTTTCTTTTCCTCTTGGCAATAGACTACATCATGAAAGAAGCAACTGAAGGGAAAAGAAATGGAATCCAATGGACAATGTGGCAACAACTAGAAGACTTGGATTTTGCGGATGATATAGCCCTTATATCCAGTACACAACAACAAATGCAAGAAAAAACATCCCTTCTCTCTTCAACATCTATAAAGCTCGGACTCAAACCAAACGAAGAAAAGACAAAAGTAATGAAGATCAATACCAAAAGTAAACAACCAATAAAGATGAACAACACTAATATAGAAGAACTAGAGGAGTTTACTTATCTAG